AGGAAAAAAAAAAAAAAAAAAATAGTGTGTGTGTGCACACGTGTGTGTATGCGTGTGTGTTAAAGGTCTTTTTTTTTTTTTCGAGGGGGTGGGGGAATCCCCCTAACACAACTCAGACAACCCATGCAGGCTATCTGAAGGATCCGCGCAGCCATGTAGCGCAGACCCCACCACCAAAATCGAGGTAGGAGTGAATATGAAATTGAGCACGAGTTGGCCGAATATATACCTGAGATTAGAATTCAGGTCTGTGCTTCAGCAGTTATGGGTTGCTCATGTAGCTAGGGCCTGTTGGTCTCTGCACGTGACTCTCAGGGCTTGGCTGCACTACTCACCAAATGTGCAAAACTAGAATGAATCTTCTTCAGAACATGGAATAATTCACTGCCATATATTTTGTGTTTTGTGTTTGTGGTGAGTAGAGGCCCTTAGGGCCACTGCACGTATTCCTAAGAAAAGAAAAACGAGAAAAAAAGAAAAACAAGACAAATGAGAAATGATAAAAAAGAAAAAAAAAAAAAAATTAATACTAGAAATTTCTCGTTTTTCTTTTCTCAGGAATACGTGCAGTGGCCCTAAGGGACTCTACTCACCACAAGCACAAAAGACAAAATATATGGCGGTGAATTATTCCATGTTCTGAAGACGATTCATCTGCACATTTGGTGAGTAGTGCAGCCAAGCCCTAAGAGTCACGTGCACATACGAACAAGCCCCAGCTACATGAGCAACCTATAACTGTTGAAGCACAGACCTGAATTCTAATCTCAGGTATATATTCAGCCACCTCGTGCTCAATTTCATATTCACTCCTGCCTTGATTTTGGTGGGGGGGTCTGCGCTACATGGCTGCGCGGACCCTTCAAACAGCCTGCATGGGCTATCTGAGCCGCGTTAGGGGGATTCCCCCACCCACTTAAAAAAAAAAAAAAAAGGGAACTTTAACATATTGTGGGTGTGATGCAGTAGGGGGGGTAGGCCTCTGGTTTTATTTTTTTTTGCAGTTTTGGGGTTTGTAGAACGAGGCCCACCACCCCGTAGTCTGTAATGCGCGCGTGCGCCCTCAGGGGTTGCATTCACTTTTTTCGTGCCACGTGGCGCGCAGCACATTTGAACGCGAATGAACGCACGCGTTTGAACGTGAACGCGCGTTCAGCGCGTTCACCCGGTTACACAGCGACCTTGGGGGCAGTCCTTAAATAGACCTCTTGATCAGGCAGATCAGTCGGACGTACCACTCGTTGCACGCGAGGATATAGAAAGGGCAAGCCTGGTCATAAGCATGCACCGGGGCACAGGGGTGGGCCGACATTGCACACCTATGACACTGCCGCTCAATGATGCTCATCGGTATGTTGGATTGAGGGGAGGGTGGGTTCCAATTGGTGCTCAACTGAATACACAACCATATCCACTGTTCATACATCTGCAACATAAGTTTAGTTTTATTGTTGATTAGTTGGTTAAAAGATTGCTAACACCTCACAGACAGTTTAGTTAAGGACTGTTGTATACTACCATAGCCAGTTCTATGCAAAACTTTTGTAAGTGAACTAATCATGATATAACTAAATTATGTTTACGGTCTTTTGTGAATATTGTAGGCTGCCACTTGATCCGTTGAGTAGGGTACCTGTCGGACACGTTTATTTTTAAAAAATTAGGTGTCGGTTAGACACATGTTGTGGTAGGACTCCAACAGGGAGTTGTAGTGCAGATAGTGTTTGCCTAACTGATGAGTGGGTCAGACACCGATGAGGGTAGAGTTGACGATCTGAGGCTGACACGTTCAAGATCACTTAGGGTCTTGCACGTGTTTCAGGCCCTACGGTCGGGAGACAAAAGGCGGCTTCGTCCCGAAGTTAGAGCCCGTGCTCTTGCAGCAGCCAGGAAGATAGCACTAGCTGCAAGTCAGGCGTTGGCAGTAGCAAACGCCGCAGCTAGGGAACAGGCAGCAGCAGTCAGTGCAACAGCAATGGCTAACGCTGCATCCTCTGCTGCATCCTCGTTTGGGACCCAGTTGGGGATGCCTCCTGGGCCCACGGGTACTTCCGGATCATTAGGTTCTGGTCAGTCTACAAGTCAAATGGCAGGCTCGCAGTTCAGTCCGTTGACCCCACGCGGCAGGGACCTACTAGAGCTCCAACAAGTCGAAAGGATCAGCACTCGGTTAGAGAGGGAACTGAAGCAAGCTACCGATAGAGAGAAAGAGATTAAAAATAGAACAGCCAGGCTTGATACGTTAGAGGCAGACAAAGCTGCATTAGAGGGGTTAGACGAGTCAGCCATGTCTGACCAAACGAAAGTGTTGAAGGCCAGCGTACTGTCGCTGCATGCGCACGTGGATAGTAGGCTGAATTTTATGCAGAACTCCTTGGACCAAATCTTGGACCTTTTGCAAAGGCCAGGATTACGGCCAACAGCACAGTCGCCGTTGCCGTTAATGGCGATGTTAGGCCCCTTTCCGGTACAAGCTGGCACACAGCCAAGTGGTACGTCTGCAGCAGCCGCACAGACTGTTGCTTCTTCTTCTTCTGGGTCAGCGGTGATAGCTACACAATCACCGCAACGACCTGTTCCACCACAGGGACAGCAGCAAGGTCAATGGTACCCAAAGACCCCAATGAAACCGCCCCTTGCCTTCTTCGGTGAGAAGAAGGACAAGGAACTCAACACTTGGTTGAGAACAGTTCCAATGTAGGTAA